AGGAATGCTAGAGAACACCGAACAAGTATAATCTCAGAAAGTAGAAAAAAAAAGCAGTTTTTTTGCACTGGTTATAAATTAAAAATGGAAATAACCTAGATTTTGAAGGTGCTACAGCAAAGAAAAACCTTTTTGAGTAGTCATATGCTTAAACCACGACATCTGATCCAGGCATTTCAGAACTTCTCAGTAAGAGGTCTGGAAATTTGTACCAGGGTTTTTCTTTTAATTCTATCAATAAATCTAAAACCAGAATTTAAAATTCATTGGTTAGGCTTACTTTAAAGACAGCTTAGCATCTTTCTAGTAGTTCTGGACTACTTCAAGGGGTGCAGTAACTGCCATCACCATTTGGCCAGCACGGCTGTCTAATCCTCACTGGGCTGCTCTTTACTGCCCAAGGACAGCATCACTGTCCAGAATGAGCACAGTACCATCTGAAAGAAGCTTCACACCTGCTCCTGGCTCATTCCTCCCATTCACTGCCCAAACCTGAGAAATCCCATCTGGCATGGCTTAAAAGGACAGCTTTCGTTAGTTGGACTCTTTGTCCCTCATCTGCTTTTTACACTCCTTGCCCTAGATGTTGTATGCAGAACTCTGTGTGTATTTTTGTGTGTGAGGCTGAGTCTGACTATCTTTTTGGGAGCTGTGAAAGAATTTTTTTTTTATTGCTTTGCTCAGTGATTTCAGGTAGGCACAATGAAAGTTGTTGGAGTAGTTTGTAGACATTCAGTGTTCAGGAATCTCTAGTAATGTACATCTATCCTGTAGTTACACAAATGTGATAGCCAAACCAATAAAGTCCATCTGTGAAACATACAGCTGATGAGGACACCTAAAAGAATCTCAAACTATGTTACTTCTACTAGCCAGCTATTTCTTTCATGGTAAAGAATATTGAACTTAAAATTCTAAACATGTGATGAAGAAAAATTGCTCCATCTTTTGGACTGTAGGGTGGGGAAATAGGTGAAAATTAATGTAGTAGAATTGCAGGCAACCCCAACTGTCTGTCCAACCTTACACTGTCTAAGTAGTTCCTGCCATTTCACATTAGCAACAGTTAAAAGTTTGTTTCTTTGTTTTGTTTTAGTTTTGGTTTTGGTTTTTTTAAATAGTGTCGCCAGCAGGACCAGGGAAGTGATCGTACCCCTGTATGTGGCACTGGTGAGGCCCCACCTCCAGTACTGTGTTCAGTTTTGGGCCCCTCAATATAAGAAAGACACTGAGGTGCTGGAGTGTGTCCAGAGAAGGGCAACACAGCTGGTGACCAGTCTGGAGAATAATTGCTATGAGGAGCGACTGAGGGAACTGGGATTGTTCAGCCTGGAGAAAAGGAGGCTGAAGGGAGACCTTCTCGCTCTCTACAGCTACCTGAAAGGAGGTTGTAGTGAGGTGGGGGTTGGTCTCTTCCCACTTGTAACAAGTGATAGGACAAGAGGAGGGAGCCTCAAGCTACGTCAGGGGGGTTTAGATTGGATATTAAGAAACATTTCTTCACAGAAAGGGTTGTCAAGCATTGGAACAGGCTGCCCAGGGAAGTGGTGGAGTCTCCATCCCTGGAGGCATTTAAAAGATGTGTAGATGTGGTGCTGAGGGACATGGTTTCGTGGTGGTTTTGGCAGTGCTAGGTTAATGGTTGGACTTGATGATCTTCAAGGTCCTTTCCAACCTAAACGATTCTATGATTCTAAAAAAATATTACTAAAAAATGTGGCTATGAAGTGCAGCCAGGCACAAAGTGTGAAAAATTCTGTACCTGCTAGTGAGGAATTCTGCTTGGCATATTAAAATTAATATCACTGACACTGCTGAATTTAATAAAACCTCTGTCATAAAAGTTGTTAAGTCTGGAATTTCCAGACAATCTTTTTTTCTCCTTTTACTCAGTTGCAGACATGATGATGGAATTCTTATATTCTAGTACTTGTTTTAGATATAACTTGTGTTCTACAAGGAGGAACGAGATAGTGGGCCTTATTTTGGGGAAACTTTTTTTACAGCTCTAGACAGTTCATTCTGTCTGGCAGATTGACAGGTTACAACACAAATGTGTTTAAAGTGTCAGTACAAGGTGCTTACAGGATCAAACCTACACTTACAGAAGATCCACACCTCTTCAAGGAAACAATTCCATGTTCTTTGGGCACTGGCAATAATGGCTTTAGGAAGAAGAAAAATCTTTATGTATTTTTTTACTGAATTTCAAATTATATGAGAAAAAAATTGTTGAAGAAATCTGGGTTAGTAAGTGGTGAACTTTTCATTTGTATTATCCTTCCTAAAATTTCCCTTGGTTCTGATATTTGCCTGATGACAGTAAAATTCATTAAACTATGCAATTTATTGTCTCTGAGGATAATTTAGAAATGCATATTCTAATCCTGATTTTGATCTGAAGTATCAGAGCCTTTGTGAGAGTCAAATGAACTGTGGTCCCACACTCTCACCGGGGAACAATTAAGCAAGCTTGAACCTTGAGGCCAGAGAGAGGTCCATCTCCTGTACCTCTCCTCCCATCGAGTGAAAAACAGTCGGGCAGTAACTATAATAAATTGCAATAAACAAATCCTTTATAATTTTTATCTGAAGAAAAAGAATGGAACTAGTATCCTCAGCATAAGTTGCTCTGCATTTTTTTTTTTGTGAGTCAAATACCCTCTGTTTCTTCTCTTCAGTCATTTGGAGCTGTTAGGCTACAAGGTTATTCAGCGATTTAGCAAATTACAAAATAGATATGCAGTTTTATGTGGGTTTTATGACATCAAATCACTAACCCAATGAGTGAATAGAATAAAAATGCATTTGACTTTTTTTTTCCCCCTGCAATTGTAATACTTTTCCACAGTTATAATGAATGTTATTTAAAGGTATCCTGTACTATACTTTGAAGCTATGCTGTGCTATTATCAGTAAAGCTACAAGACTTCTCAGCATGCATTTGAAAATAGTTGTGTTTAACACTTTTCATCAGAAACTTTATTTTCAGGAACATTTCACAACTGATTCTTATAAGAAGTGATTTTCTAATCTCTAAGCCACTACTAATCGTAAAGTATTTGCTTTTCACTCACTTCAGAAGTCTGTGTGTAAAGGCAAGACTACAGAACAAGAAGTTCTTGTTCAGTGCATAAACTATCAGGTGCAAAGACATGACCATGGAATATGCTATGCTCTTCCCTGTCCGGATCTGATTAGTGTAGGATCCCAAGTGGCAGCTTTTACATTCTTTATTCTTTAAAATGCTGGTCTTGTTATTTACTGGATCCAGAAAGAACAATATTATAGACAGTACATTACATAGGCATTCCCCCCGCTCACATTTCTGTTGCGTGGACCCATCGTGAAGGGTGTTACCACCATGCAGTGGGATATTTCCAACCCGGCGTGCCAACATTGCCTGTTTGCCTTACAGGATGTGGCCAAGCTGCAGGGATGAAGGTGCTTCCTTGCTGTTTCTGGGCATGCTGGGTTAGGAGGAACATCTTAAAAGTGGGGGGGGAAGGTTCATTACGCTCATTCCAGGAGGCTTCTGGAGTGCAGGGTGGGACATGAAAGGCTAAGGACTGAGCAAGGAGGGAGCTGGTGGAACGGGGAGAGAGTAGAGCTTCCTATGGGAGCAGGGGACTTTGAAGCAGGGAGCAAATTTATAAGCTTTGAGGATGAAATTCTTGGGGACCCAGAATCACTGAGCGTGGTTGTGCAAGCTATTGTGGGAATTTTGTCACTGAATTTGTATTTTGTTTGTTTATTGCAGATTTTTTAGCATTGCTGAGAGACTACATGGGCCCTGCTGAGAATCCTGCTGATTCCTATGAAGTTCTTACCTGCCCTCCGCTTTTCTGTTGAGAGAGTTAGTAAAAAATCTGAGACAAAGCACATCTGAATATTCATCAAAGAACTAATTCCTCCCATGTGTTTGTAGTGACCTCTTGCATCTCACACAGCTAGCACGGGCTTCTTTGAAGTGTGAGTAAAATTTAAGTTTACTGACCTAACGCTGAGTTGGTGGGGCCAGGTCAGGGAGCTGGAGAGGCAGCAGACAGGAATGGTTGGAGGGCAGTGGCAGGAACCATGCTCCTGCTGTTTTGCCAGTGGATGCTGTTGCCCCATACAATCCAGTGACCCCCACACCACAGTTCTCCACAGCATCTAGCACGGCTTCCCAAGCTGCCGATGGTGGCGATGGAGGCAGCAGCCTTACTGACATTTTGCTGTTCTAAGGAAAAGCCTAATTTGCCTGTGCCCTAAAGATGACCCAACTATCTTTGTCCGAACTTTTTTCATCTGCAGGGTCAACACTTTTCTGATAATTGTGGGAAAAATGTCTATCATGTATTTTTCATTTTAAAGGCTAAATTATACAGACTTTTCTCCACCCACACGTGTATATATACTGTTTTGTTTTATTATGTGTTTTCTCTCAAATATTTGGGTGCCTCTAAAAACCCTACTGTATGGATAAAGCCAAATAAAAAAAACATTAAACCCAGAATTTTTAAAAATATTTTCATATTCATCAGACCTGTAGATATATAAACTTTTGACTCATGGTACTCTTTGCTTGGAATAAATGATTTCATTATATTCTTGCTGCTATCATCCAGATCTGTCTGTAGAAGAATCCAAAGGAATTTACCTTCCATGTTTTAAATACCACGATTTTTTTGTTAGCCTGGGATTTCCTTTTTTTTTGTTGTTGTTTTCCTGTTTTTGCTCTGCCTTTTTGAATTTTTACCATAATACCTTGTAGAAAGCGTGCCTTATCTTAGGCATTTGTTGTTGGGTTGGGGTTTTTTTGCTTTGACAACCTCGAAGTCAGGTACATTAGGATTTTCCTGAAGTGGCATCAGAAATGTAATTTTTTCCCCTCTGATGGTCCAGAAAAAATCTGTCACAACTGAAAGGAATGCTTACTGTACTTATATGTGGCTGTATGTGTAAAAACAACTGGATCTCTTCTACTTTTTCTTATGGAAAAATCTTTTGTGTCTTACCTTGTCCAGACAAACTATCTTGGTCAGATTCCTTGACAGGTGGTTCTGTTATATCAGTCAGTTCTTTCTTCTCCTCAGCTTCACTATTCTCATCTCTGGCTTGCAGGAGATTAGGTGGGGTAAAGCTACCTGTGGTATAAACTGCCAGTGTGGTAGCCTGCTCCGTTGGAAACTCATAGCCATCGGTGATTAAGTCATTGCTAGCAGAATCATCTGCTGGAGGAGGCAAATAGGGATCCTCTGGTTTTGGAGGACTGCTAGTGCTACCCAGAGCATTGAAAGGCACTGTGAAACTTTGGTGGTCAGTAGCGATATCTTCTGTTTCTGGAGAAGATTTGTCCTGAAATGGTTCTCTGGAGGGTTTGGTGGGGAACACAGGTTCAGGTGAAACAAAATTATTAAAGTCTTCAGGAGCACTTATATCTCCACTTAGCACAGGGATTCCCGTTGTAAATTCATTGACCAAGATGTCCGGTTGGTCCACAGTTGCTGGGCTGGGGTAACCTAGTGGGAGTTCCACACTCATTGAGTCCTCCTGAAAAAGTTTTTTAAAAGCAGCTTTCATTATTATGTTTAGCTTTCATTGCTAAAAAGGCCAATAATCTTGGCCTAAACAGGAGCTTGCAAACAGCTAACTTGCACGAAATCATGGGATGCGTAAAATGCTTGGGACGTGCATGTGATCCTAATCACATTGCCTGTAATTTTAAAAATGGTCAAAGAAAGATGACGTTCACTATCCATGTCAGTTGCTCTCCTTCTGTCATTGAGATGTCCTACTGAACTGGTGAGACATTGTTCACTTTGTAATTAACACTGGAAAAGGCAATCAAGCAGTAATATTCACCTGTAAACAGCTCTAAACAGTATCTCTGTTGCAGTATAACACCACAACAATCATCCTTACAGCAATTATAAAAGGCAGAGATGTATTTTAGCATAAGAGCCTTTTTTCTGTATACTTATGTACATCTTAACACTGTTTAATTTCATTTCTCATGGAGAAATAAATAAGTATAACAACCAATATTAACTTACCAAATCAGGGCCTGCCAGAGGAATAGTGACCATGGCCTGGATATCATTATCAAAATCACTAGGTGGTATAATAGATTCTGGAAAAAAAAAATTTAAAAATAAATAGAAAGAGAGCACAACATTTCCAGTGGCACATGAAAACTGATCAAAACACATCAACTTAGTAAAAAAGAGTATTAAAACTGTTATCCATCAAAAAATTATTTAAAAAAATCCACGTTAAGAAGAAAAAGGCATACCTTTTCATTTAAACTGGCAATTCTGAAGAAAAAAAGGAATTTTATATGCAGTATTCTTTGTACTCTTTATTTAGTATAAATGGGATAGGTCTGCAGAGAGCTGAACCACGGATGAAGGCTTAAAATCAGCTGAAATATGAACCACTCAGTTAAATCTGCATGGGCCATGATGAGTCATTATACTGTGTTGCTCATTAAGCCTAGATTCTTTTCAGTTTTACCCAGAGTCCACACCATTGTTAGTCTCAGTGTTTTGGCTTTAGTGCCCAGTTGCTCCGTTCATCCCCTGAGCGGAGCTCGTTAAACATACTTGCATGCAAGCTGTTTTTCTAAAACTGGTTATTAAAAATAACTAGTGGGGAAAAGTTCATTAAAATAGTTATTATTAAAGTGTTCTATATCCATGATTTTTTCCTTGGGACTTTTAATCTACATTAAAATATAACATTTTATTCTTACAGAAAGTACTAGTTCATCTAAATATTTTTTTTTTTTAATGCTGCTGTTTGTAAATTAAACACTACAGATCAAATTTGGTGTGTGTTTTAAGATTGTTTTGGTAAATGTACATATGAAAAAATATTATAAATTATTTTCTCCTTTTTTAACCCACCTCCCCAAAACTAGGGCGATGTTAGCTTTGAAAAAATCATTGATCGACTAGATGGGGCTCTTTATTATGTGGATTACTGAACAGGATGCAGCCTTTCAACCTTCTCTTGGGGGTCTTCATACCCGGCTTGCCATCTACACTGCCTCTGTGTTTCAGAGAGCAAAATGCACATTTACAGTGTGATTTGTACCACCAATTTTAGTTAGGGATCAAATGTTCTTTGAGGTGTCTGTCTCTCTGACTTCACTGGGAGGTTAGATGAGACTGTTACAAATGAGACTTAGCTTTCAGAAAGCTAAATTTATGTTAAAGAAAGCCCTCAGCTTTTGTTTTATTAAAGAAAGGAGACTGTCCATACTGGGAAATTAAAATTATATAGTGTTTATTCATAGTCTTTATTTTTTTTTATCCTCTTATTTGTCTTATTGTGCAAAATATCCAGCTTTTCTAAACAAACAACCAGGAAATAGATCCTCCAATGTGATTGGAAGTTAGGCCGTATGACTATAAAGGCCCATTTTGCTATAAAATTTAACTTAGATCTGTGCATCCTTTGGACGTTATGCAACACTTAGGAGAATGGGATATATCAACTGAAAACAATGTGTTAGAGAAGCAAAGGAGACCTTACTGAAATTGCATCAGTTTGAAAGGGCAAGGTTCAGTCTTGTGCCTGGCACTGGCCTGCCTACTGACCATCAGTAAACTGAAGTGTTCCAAGGTCCATTGGCAGGGACTGGTCTTCGTGGAGTGCGATGGCAACCAGTTGCTGAAGGTCTGTTACTGTGAGTTTAGTTGCTGATATCTCCCTCTCTTCCTTTGGAGAAAGTGGAATTTTTTCATTTTCAACTTTATTAGACCCAATAGTTGAGATGTCATCTGCTGTGCTTTTGATTTCTGAGCCATCTCTCTCAAAGTTTACCACATATCGTGCTATAGTGCTGCTTGATCTGCGAGGAAAAGATGCAAAAATCCCCAGTGCAACAAAATCAGTTACTGCCTGAGGACTGATTTTACAAACAAACAAATAATCAAACAAAAATACATGCAACCGTAACATATTATCTTCTGTAAAAACAATGCAGATATACTTCTTTTTAATGAGACTATCTTCAAATTACTTTTGCTATACCTAAACATTTTTTTCTTCTATGCACAATTTTTAATAAAAATATCAATATTGAAGAAAATTATAAAAATGTTCTAACATAATCCAGTTTGCTGTGACTATTCAGAGACCTGTGGAACTGGTAATATAGTTTGAAGTCATTGATTATTGGTTCAAACAGTCGTCAATGCGTGCTGGGGTTACTAGAAGCCATAATCACCTATTAATTATACAGGAACCTCTGAAAAAGGATTAGACAGTTCATAAAACTACAGATAAGCAAAAATGCTATTATATCTAGGGCAATTTTTTACTCATTTTTGAAGAACAGCAAGAAAGTTAGCTAATGTGGCAAGCCAATCACTTCTCACAATGGGAATTAGCTTTTCTAAGTCCAAATGAACGTGCATAGCTTCTTTCTAGGTGTACAATTCTAGTCTCAAATTTTCACAATTGTTAATGCATCGCTTTTCATAAATGCTATATTCACCTAATTAAAATAAAAAAACCATGAGTACATTGTAAAACATTTGTACTCCACTATGTAGCATTTTATAATATCAAATAGCCAGAGAGAGAGGAATTTCACTTTACTGGTATGTGCTATGTATTTACATTTATATGACATTGCAGTAATTCAGGAAAAACATTAGTCAATTCTTCTTTTTAAACTATAAGTAAAAGAGAAATTCTGGGAACTGCTAGACAAATTATTCCCCAGCAGCACTTTTAAGCAACAACAAAAGACGCTGTAGCTGTTTGTATTGCCACTCAAAAGCTCCCTGCATTTTATCAAGCCAGTAACTAGTCTCTTTGCCATTCTATCTGGCCTGATAATGCAGGTAACAAATCAAATTCTACATCCTTATTGAAGATAATGTGTATATGAGAATATAACTGGAAGCAGCAGATCAAAAATGGAAATTTAAATATGAAGTTTCCCCCTTTTTTTTCCACTTTCAGTTTATGACTGAGAGAGATCTCTCTTCATCTGAACATGAATTTTCATAGGTCAATTTTCTTTTCTGGAAAGAGATCCTGACAAAATTTGACTACATGAAACTTTCAGATTAAGGTAGAAGCTGTCCCTGCTGTTTTATATCACAGATTTTTTACTTCAGCAGACACAAATAAATTCGCTTTGTCACATCACGATGAAGGACATTTATCGATGTATCTACCTACATCTAATAGTCTATAAAATGATTAATCATAATTATGAATTGCAGAAAAATTACCCATCTTTCTCCTTCTTCTGTCTTCATTTCATCAGAGAAGAAAGGTGTGGTAAAGGATTGCAAAAGAAAGAAAAACAAAGATTCATGTATACCGGTAAATCAATCAGTCGTACATCAAAAACATGTTTTGACAATTTATCTTTTCTTCTGTGGGTTGTCTATAAGTTTCACCTCCGTCTGAAAATGACGGCCTACTCTCCATCATGTCACTTTCCTCCTTCCAAACACTGGGAATATCCCTGTTTTGAGTGGGGAAATGGGAATTTTACTTTACCTTGACAGTTTGAAATATCTGCTTTCCTATTTCCCACTACAAATGGTGCAATTTGAGAACTGTCATTGCTAATCTGTATCTTTATGGTGGCAATGAACACCTGTGACAGTAGTAGCAACTATTACAGTGCCTACTCAGATCCTAGTCACAGGGGTAACTTGACCTGTTAATTACCTCTGGAAGATATGCCTATGTGGACTTTCTGTAATATAATGCCCTGTTATTTTCCCTGATGAATTCTCTAGCATATCTCTAATGTTGTCCTTCCATATTGCCCTGTGGGAAATGCTGCTAATGTATGTAGCAACATGGCTAAGGGAGAATGGTCAGCAACGCCTGTCTTTGCTGATGTGTAACTCTCAGGAGCTAACTAAATTCCTAGATGATGGGAATCAATCCTGGTCTTCCACACTGATTCATATCAGCTCCTAAACCCAAGATACTAAAAAGAAATGGATCCCAGATCTCCTGGAGTCACAACTGAAAGAGGTTCGTTATTGCCAGTTGTAACTGCAAGATGCTACTACAGTTTTTCGCTGCTTGTTCTGCAGTAGCCAGCTTTTTATTTTCTTACTTTCATTATCAAAATAAAAGCAACTAATTTTCAGTCTATTTCACTCTTGTTTCTCCTTTTCCACAGCAATTTTGCAGAGAGAAAAGCTAGGAAGAAGTACGCTCTTGTCTAAAATTGCATTGTGATATGAATGTTCTTCAACATGTATTAAATATTACTAAAAGAACTGAATGTTCCTGATGCTGTGCCATAAGCACTCATGAAATTATGTCTTTTTTTCCCACTCTCTATACCCTTTCAATTTGATGTAATTTCTTACTATTAATAATTTTTTCCCCCTTGATTCTTTACATAATCTTCTTGTATCTATAGAAGCGTAACCATACCAAATCCTCAGTTTTTGGTCCCCTCTCCCCTGTAGATTCTCTATTGAAAAAATACACGGTAGCTTGTATTAGCAGTAAACATACAAGGAAGATAAAACTAAAATAAATGGCAAATCAGAACACAAATTTATTAAAAAATGGAACATTTTAAATTGGTTGAAACACTTCGGAAACACCTATTGGAAATTTTTTATGTGTGACCATGCATCCTCCTGCAACCTTCTTTTGCCGAGGCAATTTCACTGTGATCTATGGAGGGCACAGGATCCACACACAAAAAAGTAACCACCTAAAAAAATCATACTCCTAACTCTCTTTACCTTGTCATTTGAGAAAGTCATTAATACAATGTTGCTGGCAAACAATTTCAAAGGATTTACTGATTACTTCATCCCTCAGAGAATGAAAGCTACTTCTACTTAGTAATTCAAAACCTCATAGTCTCACTTGGGATGAGTTTGCACTTCTTTCCATATTGTCTCTGTGTTGTTCCCAGAAATCTATTTTCTGTTTATAGCAATACACATCCCACTACTCTATAGGTATCTTCATGTTTGGGGGAAAGAAGGAAGAGGAGAATCCTAGTAGTCAATAGAAAAATGAATCCCACTTTCTTACTTACTTAAATCCTAATACACGGATTTCCTTGAATCCTGGAAGTTTCTCAAATATTTTTTGCATCTATAGAAAAACATAAAATCATTAACTCAGTGTAAGTTCTACCACTAAAAAGAATGCACAGGTTAAATACCCAGACAATATTTTTCATATTTCAGAAAGAGTTTTAGAAGAGAGTCTCAGCTGCCTTCTTTGTGGTATCATCGTTGCCCAACTTAAACACAATATTTGGTTTGCATATGCTGTCTGTATTACCTGTTAATAGGCAAAATGAAGTACAAAGTACAGGTTTTTTTAGTCATGTAATTATGTAAATCAGTGATACTCTAGTTCATAATAGAGCAAGTCAAACAACATGAATCAAATGTTTTTCTGATTTTCAGCAATTTTGGTTCATGAATAATTTTGTGATTCAAGTCAGCTTAACTGTAAATTGGTAATTATTTAGAAACATTTACCAAATGTAGATGAATTTAGATTATTTGAAAAATAATTTATAAATTAAACAATTTTAACTGTCTCATACAAATAGAATAACTTTATATATTTTTTAATTCTAATGTAAAAAATTGCACAATTACATGGTTTTGAATAGAAGACACAATATGAAGAATAAACAATGAGCAGATAAGGTGAATTCAGTATACATTTTCCAGACTTTAGGGTAATAAGTGCTTTTATCAGCAACTTAAGAATTAACAATGTTTCAAGATCCAGCTGATTAATCTTTTGGTCTTTTCCAATTGTAACAACTTTTATACAGCTAAGTCAAATGAAATATTTTATGTACATCTTCTATGTCAGAGGAAAGGGATTTGTTTTAAACACACAGTTCCACAGTTCCTTTCTGATCCACTTCCTGGTCACATTAAGTACCAGGCAAAACATCGTCTAAGCCTTCCATTTGAAAGCAAAGCCTGTGGAGTTGAGGGAATTCAGCACTTGAAAAGAAGTGAAAATGCCTGTTAATTCATCATATCTCTTAAAAAGTATATGAACTAATGTGGAGATCTTTCCTTTTTCTTAGCTGTATGATTCTGTACAAACCCAGCATACACTTAAAACTCATTCATGTGTGAGAGTTTGTCAGAACTGGTAGGGAATGGGCAGTCAGACCCACAGCTTTCTCTGCATCTCATGTAGTTTAAGTGAAAAAGAAGTAGCAGAAGATCAGTACGTTGTCACAATGCTAGGTATCAGCCAGAGTCTATCAGCCTAGATGCCTTTTTCATTACAGCAAGCAGAAAAGAAGCTGAAGTCTAATGCAGAAAATGGCTTACCATCTACACTTCCTTTGCCCAGAGGATGGAAGGAAAGGAGCTGAGGTAAATACTTCATTTTTGTGCCTGGTCTGACTTAGTAAAAATGGTGCAGAAGTAGCAATTAGACCATGGGAAGGTTTTAAACGTTATTCATGTGACTAACACTCACTGAAAGTAATGGAGATTAAGGCCTAAATCACTAGGATGCAATTAATTTTCCTAAACTTAGGCAAGCACGATCATTTTAGGTGCCTTAAGATCATCTTCTGCTCAGTTGCTGGTTCAAAAAAAATGCAGCTCTCTTATATTTAAGAAGTCCTTGTAGATGTGTTGGATAACACGGTGCACCTAAAACGGCACCAGATGTCCATATTTAGGCAACTGCATGCCATTTTAGCTATGTTCTGCCAGCTGACTCTCGGCATGGGCTCTGTTCAATTTCTTCTTGGCTTTCTTTATATCATAATGAAGTTGATGCTTTCTTTTAACTGTATACACATATGTAGCTTCCTATTCCTTATTTTTGCCAAATGAATCTTGATTCACTGAGTAGTGTAAGCATCTGAATCTGCATTCTGCTTTTCATGTCATTTTAAATGTCTGCTGTGGCATACAGATGTACTTCTGAACATTTGCATTGTAATGTCTGCTGTAACTCTTCCCTCTTGCTGTGTCCTGGAATAAATTAGAAACTTGGAACTCCACCGTCCCAGCCTTTGCAAAGGCTTCTCTGGAATTTGTACAGGAGCTCATGTAGCTGGATGAGGTTTTAATTCTGAATCTAATCTCCTCACTCTCACCCTTTGAGTGCTCTTGTAAAACTGTCTTGTATCAAAATTGCCCTCTGCCTCCTCCATGACCTGTCTTTGGAAGAAAGCACGTCAGGTGTATTTCATGGTACTGAACCACAAATCATTTTCGATTCAACATTGCATGTCAAGAACAGCTTTGGACTCTTTAAAGTGACAGATAAAATTTCATGACAATGGAAAATAATTTAACAATCAAGAAACTTTGCATTTCACCCCCCATACATGAAATTAATGAAATAACTTAAAAGTCAGATTGCTAAATTACATCATTGTATGTGTAGTAAACAAAGTCTGCAGGCAGTTCTGTTTGAGGATAATACTGGAAATCTCCAGTGAAGCCACATTTTTATCAGCTCTGCCGGCACATGCTTCACCATTTTTCTATGCATATCTGAAACTGAACCAAGATAATGAAATAGCTTGAACTAAGGAATGCTCGTGAAACTGATGAGAAGCTTTAGTTAATTTTACTAAGAAAAGCTTTTGGGAACCTCAAGTCATTAACCTTTATCTATTAAATTGATAGCCGAACATTCAGTTAATATTATTAATTATACAAAAACACTACAGATGTTCCAGTTCTTACAGAAACTGTGGTAATGCACAACAAAATGACTGTAAGTCCTTTGAAGAATAGTTCAGACAATAGTAGCTAATTACTCTTAACATTTATATTACATTTCTCATTAGGTTTATTGTAGAAATTAAATTATGACAAAGTACTGTCCATGAATTGCTGATTTAGCCCAAATGATATTCCTAACGTTACTCTGTTCATCAGTTATCTGAGACTCTACTGCTGACAAAGACACTGGCTTGGTGGCTGAACAGATGGCCCAAAGGAGGTGAAAAGCTGGCTATACATGAAGGAAAACTGAAGGTCTTGAAACAACAGGAATTATCTATTTCAAATGAGGGCAGTAGATTCTAGTTCTGTTTCATGGTGAAGGTAGTTTCATATTATGAATCTCAGCCAAGGTACAAAGCCAACATTTTGGCGTTCACTCAGCCTCCTTACCTGTAGCTGAAATTTGGCAGCAAGTTGTCGGTACTGTGGGGAGTTGGGATCATTAAGTTCAGCTGTGTACTCCTGATCAGTGAGAGTGACACTGAATTCTACCATTTGCTCCACAGGCAGTTCTGGGACAGTATTTGTTCCCAGCTCCTGGAAACGAAGAGGAGAGGAAAAAAAGGGGAGAAATAAAACTGTTTTTTTCCCCACATTTCAGTATTTAACACGTAGAAGGGTTCCTTTTTAAGCCTGTCCCCAAAATAACATTCTGAACCATATCTTACAAAGGGCAAGGGTTTCTAGCCCCATCTGTTTGCTTAATTATTCTGCCTTTGCAAACAGCTTTCTATTACTTGTGAGTTACCTTTGATATGCATAAATGAAGGTGATGAAGAGAATGAAGCCATTTCTTGCACAGAGACTGCTACCAAGTCTTATTTCCATCAACATT